CCTGGGAGCGCGCGGCCCCGTGATCCGGTGCCCGCTATGTCCTCAGGACACTGATCACTGTACGGGACATCTGTGTGAGGTCCCGATCGTGTGATCACTGATTGGTCAATCAGTGATCCCATGAATAGTAGTAAGCAAGATGTCACTTCCTGACATCATTGCTTACTGCTTGTGAAATCTGTGAATGATCACAGAGATCACATGGTACCGGGCTTTTCACAACAGCCTTGTACCAGGTGACAAGCTGTGACCAATCACAGCTCACACAGTATTTCTCAATGGTTGCAGGAATGCAGCCAGAGAGAAGGAGAAATGATTGCTTTTACATCCTATATGGGTGTAAAAAAAAAAAAAAAAAAAAAAAAATCATCGCCCCCCACGAGTAGTACAGTGTCACCATGGTGAGACTGTACTGCTAGGGTGACAGTATGTAGAAAAAAAAAACAAAAACATAAAAATGTAAAAAGAAACTTAGAAAAATTATAATTTTTGGTTATAAACTAAAAAATTTTTTTTTACTAAAAAGATAGTGAATTCAGGGTCCGGGGAGAGCGGATACACTGGACGCGGGGTCCGGGGAGAGCGGATACAGTGAACGCGGGGTCCGGGGAGAGAGCGGATACAGTGAACGCGTGGGTCCAGGGAGGGCGGATACAGTGAACGCAGGGTCCGGGGAGGGCGGATACAGTGAACGCAGGGTCCGGGGAGGGCGGATACAGTGAACGCGGGGTCCGGGGAGAGCGGATCAGTGAACGCGGGGTCCGGGGAGAGCGGATCTAGTGAACGCGGGGTCCGGGGAGAGCGGATCGGAACGCGGGGTCCGGGGAGAGGGTCGGATCTAGTGAACGCGGGGTCCGGGGAGAGCGGATCTAGTGAACGCGGGGTCCGGGGAGGGCGGATCTAGTGAACGCGGGGTCCGGGGAGAGCGGATCTAGTGAACGCGGGGTCCGGGGGAGAGCGGATCTAGTGAACGCGGGGTCCGGGGAGAGCGGATCTAGTGAACGCGGGGTCCGGGGAGAGCGGATCTAGTGAACGCGGGGTCCGGGGAGAGCGGATCTAGTGAACGCGGGGTCCGGGGGAGAGCGGATCTAGTGAACGCGGGGTCCGGGGGAGAGCGGATCTAGTGAACGCGGGGTCCGGGGAGAGCGGATCTAGTGAACGCGGGGTCGGGGAGAGCGGATCTAGTGAACGCGGGGTCCGGGGAGAGCGGATCTAGTGAACGCGGGGTCCGGGGAGAGCGGATCTAGTGAACGCGGGGTCCGGGGAGAGCGGATCTAGTGAACGCGGGGTCCGGGGAGAGCGGATCTAGTGAACGCGGGGTCCGGGGAGAGCGGATCTAGTGAACGCGGGGTCCGGGGAGAGCGGATCTAGTGAACGCGGGGTCCGGGGAGAGCGGATCTAGTGAACGCGGGGGTCCGGGGAGAGCGGATCTAGTGAACGCGGGGTCCGGGGAGAGAGCGGATCTAGTGACCGCGGGGTCCGGGGAGAGCGGATCTAGTGACCGCGGGGTCCGGGGCGAGCGGATCTAGTGACCGCGGGGTCCGGGGGCGAGCGGATCTAGTGACCGCGGGGGTCCGGGGCGAGCGGATCTAGTGACCGCGGGGTCCGGGGTTTAGTAACACTTTAATGACACCCCCTGCAGCCGCAAATGTGCTGAATTTTAGCTTGTGCCAACTGCATGGGGCTGCAGCACATGGGCTTTGTGCGACTCATGGGAACGCACCCATTTTCGGTCACAACTCTTAGTGTGGACCAAGCCATACACAGAACCTTGTAATCGTCCCTCAAGCCCACTACACATAGTGAGAGAAATAGCAACTTTATGAACAACGTATTGCATGCAATTCTTACACACTCCATGACCTTGCCTCACCTCCAGCTTGGACTGCTAGCAGACATCACCACCCCGGGGACACACACACAGATCTCTCCTCGTGTAAGCCCACCTCTTCTGCTCAACAGTTTGCAAATCAGTCACTCCTTCTGCAAGCCTGATTTCACCTTTCACCTGTTGTCTAGTAACTCAATATAAAATCTGATTTATTGCAGTGCTGAATTGTTTGAGGGATATTTAACTCTAGTCATGAGCTGCAAATGTTTTTGTGGTGTGTCTGAAGTGATTCTAAAGTTTATGATGTAACTGCCATTGCTGAGCCCTTTGTGAAAATGCCAGTTTCCTGACTTTTTTCTGATCATTACTGGGTCACGGACTCAAAATATTATCCCTACCGAGCCAATTCTGGCATTTCTCTACTACATGCAAAAATCTTTTTTTTTTTTCTTAAGTTCTGCATAATTTTCTAGCAATAACCAAAAAAAAAAAACAGTGTGAGAGAGAGTCAGGTCCATAAATATTTGGACATGGACACAATTCTAACATTTTTGGCTCTATACACCACCACAATGGATTTGAAATGAAACAACAAGATGTGCTTTAACTGCAGACTGTCAGCTTTAATTTGAGGGTATTTACATCCAAATCAGGTGAACGGTGTAGGAATTACAACAGTTTGCATAGGTGCCTCCCACTTGTTAAGGGACCAAAAGTAATGGGACAGAATAATAATCATAAATCAAACTTTCACTTTTTAATACTTGGTTGCAAATCCTTTGCAGTCAATTACAGCCTGAAGTGTGGAACGCATAGACATCACCAGACGCTGGGTTTCATCCCTGGTGATGCTCTGCCAGGCCTCTACTGCAACTGTCTTCAGTTCCTGCTTGTTCTTGGGGCATTTTCCCTTCAGTTTTGTCTTCAGCAAGTGAAATGCTCAATCGGATTCAGGTCAGGTGATGGACTTGGCCATTGCAGAACATTCCACTTCTTTCCCATAAAAAACTCTTTGGTTGTTTTTGCAGTCTGCTTTGGGTCATTGTCCATCTGCACTGTGAAGCGTCCAATGAGTTCTGAAGCATTTGGCTGAATATGAGCAGATAATATTCCCGAAACACTTCACAATTCATCCGGCTGCTTTTGTCAGCAGTCACATCATCAATAAATACAAGAGAAGCAGTTCCATTGGCAGCCATACATGCCCACGCCATGACACTACCACCACCATGATCACTGATGAGGTGGTATGCTTAGGATCATGAGCAGTTCCTTCTCCATACTCTTCTCTTCCCATCACTCTGGTACAAGTTGATGTCGGTCTCATCTGTCCATAGGATGTTGTTCCAGAACTGTGAAGGCTTTTTTACATGTCGTTTGGCAAACTCTAATCTGGCCTTCCTGTTTTTGAGGCTCACCAATGGTTTCCATCTTGTGGTGAACCCTCTGTATTCACTCTGGTGAAGTCTTCTCCTGATTGGTGACTTTGACACACATACACCTACCTCCTGGAGAGTGTTCTTGATCTGGCCAACTGTTGTGAAGGGTGTTTTCTTCACCAGGGAAAGAATTCTTTGGTCATCCCCCACAGTTGTTTTCCGTGGTCTTCCGGGTCTTTTGGTGTTGCTGAGCTCACCGGTGCGTTCCTTCTTTTTAAGAATGTTCCAAACAGTTGTTTTGGCCACGCCTAATGTTTTTGCTATCTCTCTGATGGGTTTGTTTTGTTTTTTCAGCCTAATGATGGCTTCACTGATAGTGACAGCTCTTTGGATCTCATCTTGAGAGTTGACAGCAACAGATTCCAAATGCAAATAGCACACTTGAAATGAACTCTGGACCTTATATCTGCTCATTGTAAATGGGATAATGAGGGAATAACACACATCTGGCCATGGAACAGCAGCTGAGAAGCCAATTGTCCCATTACTTTTGGTCCCTTAACAAGTGGGAGGCACATATGCAAACTGTTGTAATTCCTACACCGTTCACCTGATTTGGATGTAAATACCCTCAAATTAAAGCTGACAGTCTGCAGTTAAAGCACATCTTGTTTGTTTCATTTCAAATCCATTGTGGTGGTGTATAGAGCCAAAAATGTTAGAATTGTGTCCATGTCCCAATATTTATGGACCTGACTGTACATACACATTCTAGGGACAATTATGTCTTTGAGTGTAGGAGGAATCCGGAGGATCATGAGGGAACCCGCACAGGGAGAATATGCAAACTCCAGGCAGGTGGTGCTGTGGTTGGGATTTGAACCAACGACCCCAGTACTGCCAGGTGGAAATGCTGACCATTTAGCCCCTGTGCTGCCCCACTTTATGGAGAGATCTGGGGTCGGTAAGACCCCTCATCTATCCTTCTATGCTGGTAAGCATGAGACAACATAAACTGATCTCAGGCTTTCCAGTATAAAAAAAATGGTATTGTTTATTTCTGCCAAAGCCGGAAGTGATGTCATGACTTCGCTTCCAACCTCCCAGGATCATAGAGATGGCCGGTGACCATCCGGTCCATGGCCAGCTCTATGGTAAACTGGCGCTGCTGCTGGATCAGATCTCCGATTTCCCGATCACATGGGAAGCACGGAGAGGCGCCGTTGGGCGGGGGATAACGTCTCCTTCCGCTGCCTGTAAAAACAATCCAGTGACTGATCAGCCGCTAGGATGACTTTTTACTAAAGCGGGAATCTTCTGCTGAAAACAATGATATCTGGATGATGCCCATAGCTGGAGGCATCATCCAGATCTCTCCACTCAAAGCTAGGACGTCATATGACGTGTCCACCCGCGGGAAGGGGTTAAGCAAGAAGATTAAAAAAAAAAAAAAAAATTCAGTGACTCCCTAAAGCAGGGGGTAGGCAACCTGAGAGCCGCAGGACTACAAGTTCCATCATGCCTCTGCAAGTCATAGCTGTAACTGTCAGTTTTGTAATCTTTGCAATGCCTCATGGGAAATGTAGTTCCACAACAGCTAGAGAGTCGCAGGTTTCCTACCCCTGCTAGCAATCAGACAGAATCAGCTGTTTGATGGCCCAGTGCAGGATGGGGGGGTGAACAGCAGAGGCGCTCTTGTGTCTTCAGTCCCGGTGCCCGTGGATAATGGCGCCTCTGACCAGCACTTTTTTCCTCTCTCTAGGGATCCCTTTGCTTTGCACCGTCAGCATATGAGACGCATGTTTTCTGGAAACTTCGGGATGTCGCCGTTCCTGAGCCTGACCGATGGGAGTGTGCCGGGACTCGCTCGTACTGCAGCCCCCCGTGACATGCAGGTAAGACTAGAGGCATTATGGGTAATTGGGGTTAGTCGACGTCATAACGCATAATGGAGTAGCATACACATTCCATGCATTTCCCTAAAGCCCAGCGACTTGGGCCGGTGCGAATTGCAGCGGCAGGAATCTGGATGTGAGCGGCTTGCTGCGGTAAAATTATAGCTGGCTGTGCGGACAGCCACGAATCGCTGCAGCCGCCGGCGACCTGTAAATATAGTGAACGAGCGTGGTGGCCGCAGCTAGCCACTCACAGCAGCAGATTCCTGCCACCGCAGTTCACACCGGCCCAAATCGCCTAAGCCCTGGTTCACAGTGAACTGGACTACTTTCCCTTGAAGTTGCGCGCTTTCAAAGCCGCTGGTCAGTGCGATTTTATGTGCGGCTTGCCTGACATCTGTGCAGTTCCATGCAAGTTCGCATATGAAATCGGGGAAAAATCACGCAGGAACTTTTTTTTTTTTTTTTTCAAAATCGCTGCCACACCGCAAAGACAGAGTCGTACTGATTTGACCGGTATCTTAGGCACAGAGTGTGACTTGTCATGCGATTTGAAATGGACAAGTCGCAGCGGTGTGAGCCACGGCTAAATCAGCTTTATAATATCACAGAGGAATCCAAATAGGCTGATTGGAGAGCTCTAGATTTTTGTTTCAGGAGCTGTGTGGGACCTCGGCAGAGAGAGCACTGCTTGCACACTGCTGATCGCTGGGGAAATGTGTGTGTATATATATCTCAAATGCTCATTTATTTTTTTTTAACTGCAAACAAATTAGCATTTTTTTACATTAGTTTTTTTTTTAAAGTGATCTTCTCCATTTTAAGCAATTTACTGTAATGGTTTAAATACCCCTCATCTTGGTGCACCTGGAATGTATTCAGCTGATTTAAACAGTTCATTTGGGCTTTGTTTTAATTCCAGCCTCCCCTTCAGTCTTGCACAGGTGTACCGCCCCCCCCCCCCCTTCAGTCTTGCACAGGTGTACCGCCCTTCTTCAGTCTTGCACAGGTGTACCCGCCCCCCTTCAGTCTTGCACAGGTGTACCGCCCGCCCCCCTGCAGTCTTGCACAGGTGTACCGGCTCCTTCCCTTCAGTCTTGCACAGGTGTACCGGCTCCTTCCCTTCAGTCTTGCACAGGTGTACCGGCTCCTCCCCTTCAGTCTTGCACAGGTGTACCGCTCCTCCCCTTCAGTCTTGCACAGGTGTACCGGCTCCTCCCCTTCGGTCTTGCACAGATCTTCCCCTTCGCTTGCACAGGTGTACCGGCTCCTCCCCTTCAGTCTTGCACAGTGTACCGGCTCCTTCTCTTCGGTCTTGCACAGGTGTACCGGCTCCTCCCCTTCGGTCTTGCATAGGTGTACCGGCTCCTCCCCTTCGGTCTTGCACAGGTGTACCGGCTCCTCCCCTTCGGTCTTGCACAGGTGTACCGGCTCCTCCCCTTCGGTCTTGCACAGGTGTACCGGCTCCTCCCCTTCGGTCTTGCACAGGTGTACCGGCTCCTCCCCTTCGTCTTGCACAGGTGTACCGGCTCCTCCCCTTCGGTCTTGCACAGGTGTACCGGCTCCTCCCCTTCGGTCTTGCACAGGTGTACCGGCTCCTCCCCTTCGGTCTTGCACAGGTGTACCGGCTCCTCCCCTTCGGTCTTGCACAGGTGTACCGGCTCCTCCCCTTCGGTCTTGCACAGGTGTACCGGCTCCTCCCCTTCGGTCTTGCCCAGGTGTAGCGGCTCCTCCCCTTCGGTCTTGCACAGGTGTACAGGCTCCTCCCCTTCGGTCTTGCACAGGTGTACAGGCTCCTCCCCTTCGGTCTTGCACAGGTGTACCGGCTCCTCCCCTTCGGTCTTGCACAGGTGTACCGGCTCCTCCCCTTCGGTCTTGCACAGGTGTACCGGCTCCTCCCCTTCGGTCTTGCACAGGTGTACCGGCTCCTCCCCTTCGGTCTTGCACAGGTGTACCGGCTCCTCCCCTTCGGTCTTGCACAGGTGTACCGGCTCCTCCCCTTCGGTCTTGCACAGGTGTACCGGCTCCTCCCCTTCGGTCTTGCACAGGTGTACCGGCTCCTCCCCTTCGGTCTTGCACAGGTGTACCGGCTCCTCCCCTTCGCTCTTGCACAGGTGTACCGGCTCCTCCCCTTCGGTCTTGCACAGGTGTACCGGCTCCTCCCCTTCGGTCTTGCACAGGTGTACCGGCTCCTCCCCTTCGGTCTTGCACAGGTGTACCGGCTCCTCCCCTTCGGTCTTGCACAGGTGTACCGGCTCCTCCCCTTCGGTCTTGCACAGGTGTACCGGCTCCTCCCCTTCGGTCTTGCACAGGTGTACCGGCTCCTCCCCTTCGGTCTTGCACAGGTGTAACAGGCCCCCCCCTTCGGTCTTGCACAGGTGTAACAGGCCCCCCCCCCCCTTCAGTCTTGCACAGGTGTAACAGACCCCCCCCCTTCAGTCTTGCACAGGTGTAGCGTCTCCCCCCCTTCAGTCTTGCACAGGTGTACCGGCTCCCCCCCTGTAGTCTTGCACAGGTGTAGCGGCGCCTCCCCTGTAGTCTTGCACAGGTGTAGCGGCTCCTCCCCTTCGGTCTTGCACAGGTGTAGCGGCTCCTCCCCTTCGGTCTTGCACAGGTGTAGCGGCGCCTCCCCTTCGGTCTTGCACAGGTGTAGCGGCGCCTCCCCTTCGGTCTTGCACAGGTGTAGCGGCGCCTCCCCTTCGGTCTTGCACAGGTGTAGCGGCTCCTCCCCTTCGGTCTTGCACAGGTGTAGCGGCTCCTCCCCTTCGGTCTTGCACAGGTGTAGCGGCTCCTCCCCTTCGGTCTTGCACAGGTGTAGCGGCTCCTCCCCTTCGGTCTTGCACAGGTGTAGCGGCTCCTCCCCTTCGGTCTTGCACAGGTGTAGCGGCTCCTCCCCTTCGGTCTTGCACAGGTGTAGCGGCGCCTCCCCTTCGGTCTTGCACAGGTGTAGCGGCGCCTCCCCTTCGGTCTTGCACAGGTGTAGCGGCTCCTCCCCTTCGGTCTTGCACAGGTGTAGCGGCTCCTCCCCTTCGGTCTTGTCAGGTGTAGCGGCTCCTCCGCTTCGGTCTTGCACAGGTGTAGCGGCTCCTCCGCTTCGGTCTTGCACAGGTGTAGCGGCTCCTCCCCTTCGGTCTTGCACAGGTGTAGCGGCTCCTCCCCTTCGGTCTTGCACAGGTGTAGCGGCTCCTCCCCTTCGGTCTTGCACAGGTGTAGCGGCTCCTCCCCTTCGCTTGCACAGGTGTAGCGGCTCCTCCCCTTCGGTCTTGCACAGGTGTAGCGGCTCCTCCGCTTCGGTCTTGCACAGGTGTAGCGGCTCCTCCGCTTCGGTCTTGCACAGGTGTAGCGGCTCCTCCGCTTCGGTCTTGCACAGGTGTAGCGGCTCCTCCCCTTCGGTCTTGCACAGGTGTAGCGGCTCCTCCCCTTCGGTCTTGCACAGGTGTAGCGGCTCCTCCCCTTCGGTCTTGCCCAGGTGTAGCGGCTCCTCCCCTTCGGTCTTGCCCAGGTGTAGCGGCTCCTCCCCTTCGGTCTTGCCCAGGTGTAGCGGCTCCTCCCCTTCGGTCTTGCCCAGGTGTAGCGGCTCCTCCCCTTCGGTCTTGCCCAGGTGTAGCGGCTCCTCCCCTTCGGTCTTGCCCAGGTGTAGCGGCTCCTCTCCTTGACTGAAATTGCTTCCTCTGATTTCACTGCACACTGTGAGCTCCTCACTCTGTGCACTGGAAGCTGCTGCAAGTCAGAGCTCCGCCTGATTTGCTGGCAGGAGGACACCCAACATCATCTAGCACTTTCCTCCCCAGCCTGACTGTCACTGGCCCCCCACCCCTGCTTACATTGGATTTAAGTTGAGTCATGAAGGTTCAGCATTTCACATGGGTGACATCTAGTGCAGTTGGCAGTGCATGCTAATGCGGCCTGCCTAGGAATGCTGATTCCTTCAGACTGATCTCTCCTCCCAAGAATCAACCCCACTGCTTGCATTGGGCTGAGGGCTCGTGAGAGGAGTACTGAGGCAGGGTGCTGCTGTGTATTCTGTACAGCACCCTGCTGGCCCCTTCCACTGGCCTTGATCTGCGTGCATTGCATAGAAAAGCACAGTGACCCAATGAAGGTGTAATGTATTGATTACAACAGATTAGACTTCAGCTTTAAAATATAATAAATTCCCAATACCTAAAAAAATGATAGCTGCACTATTTTTGGCAGCGCACCGATCATTCGCATTGCTATGCACTATAGTACAGGTTTTGTTTTTTTTTCTCCTGCTTTTCATAGGCATTAGGTTTCATTTAGGATGAATGCCAACATAACGCGTATAAAGCGGGTATAGAAAAGAATCGCCCCCCTCTAAAATAATCACGTTTTGTTGCTTCGCAGTCTGAACTGAAGACAGACACATTTTTCGTTTTATCCAGCTATATTCACTCTAATAGCATCCAAGTGAAAGAACACCAACATGCCACTAAAAATTTTAAAAAAATCCAAAAACAGAATCACTAAGTTGGAAAAAAGACCCCCCCCCCCCCCTCCTAAAAAATGACTTGTAAACTCAACCAGGTGTAGCTAATCGCCTTCTTAATGGCACACAAAGCCATTTCACTTTCAGCTGTGATCAGCTGGAGTCATTTTGATTAGTTTACCATGAAAAGAGCTTTCCTGGAGCATTTCAGTCGCTGGTAGTGCAACGGAAGCAAACAATCAAATATGGGTGTCAAGGCACTGTCACCGGGATCTCTGGGATAAAGTTGTGGACGGGCACAAGTCAGGAGATGGATACAAAAAAAGGTGAAAAGCTTTATGAACAATGCCTAGAAGCAGAGTGACGTCTATTAATAAGAAGTGGAAGGTATTTGGTAGAACACAGACCCTCCCTGGATCAGGACGTCGCTCCAAACTGGATGAAAGAGGCAGGAGGAAACTGGTCACAGAGGAGACCAAGAGGCCTACAGCATTTCTGAAGCCGTGTCAGGAATTGATGACAAAGAGCGGTCATTGTGTGCATGTGACAA